TAATGAGGGGGGTACCTGGGTAGGGTTGGATAATGAGGGGTGGGTGTGTGTGTGTGATTGGTGTGTGTGTGGGAGGGGTGGGTGGGTAACCGGGTAGTAAATCTGGACTCGGCCCAACCCTATTATGAATCCTGCAACCCTGTTGGGATTCTGACAAAGGAGGACATTTTAAGTTGTTGCAGTGTCACATGGGGGTATATGTGTTTTTTAAACCCCTCGTGTTTGTGGTATAAAACCTTACAAGGGATCTGCCATTGTAAAAGAATTACCGGTAAAACAAACTGAATATTGACAGAAAACATTGAGCTGAGGTTTACTTTAATTGACTCAAAAACAACATGCTTGCAAGAGATTTATTGTCCCTGCTCAGAAATCCATGTGGTGGGGTTCAAGGTATTTATTCTCCCAATCAGAAATTTCTTTCCCTCCCAGACGTGATACATTGTATTTTATCAAAATCTCGTGAACCACATTCTGACTTGGAGGTAAGATAATGCTCATTGTGCAGTATTTATTACAAAACAAAGCATCATACATCAATTCAGGAATTGTTTTATTTGTTTTTCTATTTTGAGTTGAAATGATAAGTTAAGAGTTTCGATAATATACTGAACCGCAAAAGAAACGTCGCCATGGATAGAAGAAACCTTATTTGTCCAAACACTGTCAACATACTTGGTATGTAAAAAAATATTAAAAATATTAAAAAGATGAATCTTGGCAAAACTGATCATCAAGGTTGAAATTAAAGTGTCAAATGTTCTTAAAGTGAAACAAAACACTAGCCTCTGAGAAAATGGCATCACAAGTCAGTATCTCATGTGTCGGCCATGTGCATTGATAACTGCCATGCAACGTCGATACATGGAATGGATGAGGTGGTTGATGAAGGCCATAGACACTTGAGCACACACTCTCAGGAAAGCCTGACGCTGTTCAGCTGCAGTTGTCGGCCTTGGTCGGACGTCATTTAGCCATCTTTGAATCTCGTCCAACAGGTACTCAATGGGATTTAAATCGGGACTGAGGGTAGGCCACTGCATGGTTCTGATGCCATTCTGCTGGAGGAAGTCTCTTGTTGCTCTCGCAGTGTGTGCACAGGTGCTATCATGCTGAAACTCGTGGTTGCGGCTACGTTCCAAATGAGGTATGGCGAGTGGTCTCAAGACTTGATCATTGTACCGAGCTGCTGTGATACCATTGCCTCTCCCAGGACCGATGTTCTGGAAGACCACAGGGCCGACCCTCTGTACACGACCAATTCCACCCCACACCATGATGCTCGGACAACCCCATGAGTCTCTCTCAACAACACAAGCATCCGAATAACATTCCCCACGGCGTCACCAGACTCTCTCTCTGACATCTGCTGTTGAGATACATTACATCGCTCGTCTGAGAAGAGGACTTTTCTCCACTGCTGGTGGCGCCAATGCTAGTGCTGTGTTGCCCACTGAAAACGGTCCCTGCGATGACGTGTCAGAATGGGTCCTTGGTGTGGCCTGTGACAGTGGAGGTGTCTGTTCGTCAATTGTCGACGCATGTTGTCCACACTTATGTGTTGCTGGTGTGTCCCCATGGTCTGTCAAGCAGTTTCCTAAGCAGTAACAAAGCGATCTTGAAGATGCTGTCGCACAATATGATTATCCTGACATCGGGTGGTGACCCTTGGTCTTCCACTACGTGGTCGGTCATCTGTAGTTTTGGTGTTCTGGTACCGTTGCTGGAGCCTGTATATGAACCTTACGTGGACTTTGAAATGCATTAGCTATTTGCCGGGCGGTTTGTCCAGCAATTGTCCAAGGGCTTGGTGTTGCTGATTTCTTGTCAATCTTGGCATGTGGTAGCAATTCAATAATGAATGAATGTTATCCGATCTCGGTGGATTTTTATAGGGCCGTGATGCGTTTGGGCGATCGGTTTTATTGTCATCTGCTTTGTTTTTTTATCATCAAATTTCATTTTTTCGGACAAGGTAATGCTAAATTTTAGAAACTTTGACAAAAATTACCCAGATATTTAAATGACAACTTTTCATGCAATGTTACTTGGGGTGATGTTTCTTTTGCAGTTCAGTATATTATATGTTGTTTTGGTACCAAATAAATAACTGTTGAAAGCTACTATTACTAATTCATGTTACTGAAAAGTATAAAATATGAGGTTGCTGCTGACTAACCTTAAAGCATAATAATCGCAGTGAACAGGGATTCAAGTCCACAATCAGGCTTCTGGTGTGTATGAGGGGCACATCTCTGACTTTCATATTCGGGTTGCTATAGGAATGGAACTTTCTTATTCAAAGATGTACTGTGTTAGGCAAATAGTAAGTGAGTCATTCAAGTGAGTCCCAGCTAGTAGCACTGGCACAAACTTACTTCTTTTCCCCTTTTGCCTGTGCAAAAATAATGCAAATGAACAGCCATTATGACAGGTGTTACATCTCAGACATGTTCTCTGCCAAGCGGGCAAACGACAATGGAGAGGGTTCGCCATACTTGTCAATTGTTGCGAGGCGGTTCATGGGGCTGCACATACACCAGCCACTAGCTACTTCCGACATTGAGAAACATAGCAGTGAAAAACACATAAAAATCGGAGATGCAAAGTTCTGCCATTTACAAGACTTCCAAGAGTGCTGTGGATTTCCAAGGTAAAATATTGGACAGATATGTTTTTAGAGTACAACATCTAATGTGCCACCTCAGTATAATTATAAGTCAAGGAATACTTGTTCTGTAATGTGATGCTGACTGTAGATAGGGTTACAGCATAGTTTTCAGGGCAAATTTTTTTTTAGATTGAATATCTCTCAAAAACAACTTCCACTGAAAATGTAAACTGCTTTGTTTAGTAATACAGATATTGTTTTTAACGTAATAGACAGCAAGTAATTCTGAAATTCTACACAAGTATTTCAGACCAAGTGAGGTATTTGATTTGGTAGATATATGTTTACATATATAAAGTTTATGAAATTCATCTCTTGATTGCATTGACTGACAATGATGAACATAATATTGAGGAAATTCCAATTATAAGTGATTCATTTATATTTTGGCACATACATTTACCATTAGTCTCTCGCATCAGGACCTGCATTCCGTAATGAAAGTATTTGTAATAAAAGTGTATGTGTGCATATTTTTCAAACCTCCTGCAAATGTTCACATGTATGTTTGATATTCCATTTTTGATATTTTTTCTTCAACATTTGTGCAACCTACGACTTAAAAACTACTTCATGGATTCTTTTCCATTTGGGGTTACAGTTTCTGTACCAATAGGAGAGGTGCAGTGCAAAGTTTGTTTTCAATATTTGGATTTTCCGAAACAAATACAGCTTTTTTGAAAGAAAACTATTTCACGAATTCCTTTAAAATTTATGGAACAGCTTCCATCGTAATAAGAGCGATGCAGTGCAAAGTTTAATTTTGATATGTGTATTTTCTGAAAATAAATATGATTTTTTCATGTTTTAAACTTAGAATTGTTTTACTTCAACATTTGTGGAGCCTTTAGCTTAAAAACTTCTTCTTTTTATACCAATAGGTGTAGTGCAGTGCAAAGTTTGATTTCAATAAGAGGATTTTCTGAGAAAATATATTTTTCATGTTTTGAACTTAGAAATATGTTGGAGTCGGAAGTCGGGGGTTATGAGTGAGCTCACTTTTTGTCTTGTTTCTCATTGTATTTTTCATAATCTTAAAACCTTAACTTTGTTTTGGTTTTACTAGACACACATAAACTCATCACTGTTCCCACTTCTAAATGCCTCTCAAAGAAGAATCACATAAACCTGTTTGATCACATTAAACTGTTAATAAATAGGTGAGTTTCCTCCGCTTCTCCTGTTCTATTACAGCAGTAGGAAAACTCCCTATGTTGTTTCAACGAAGAATTGAAGTTTTGGCTGGTAGAAGTTTTGGGTAACAACACCTGAGACTGGAATTTTAGTTTGCTTCCACATTAAGTGTGTCCGAGGCAAGACACTTTTGTCTTGTTTCAGGTTGTTATGGAGATGTATTTCTTGAAACTGAAGGTAAAGATATAATACTGGAAATAAATGTGGCATGCAGTGATTTCTGGGGCCTTCTTGAAATTGTGGTGGAAGGGTCTTGTTCTATTATTTGCAAGTACTTGCAAACCCTATTTTTTAAACATAGACCCAATAAATGGTCTCTGTTTAAACTGAAACTTAGTGAAATCTTAAGGAAGGTGTTTATGTTTGTATTACCGTCTTGTTTAACACTGGTGTAAGGATATGGAAGAAAAGATTGTTTCAACTCATCAAATATTCAATTTTATAATGTAGTTATACTGTTTGACAATAATGATGCTTTGAATGGAATCATATCTCTTCTATTTTGATACATTTGTACCTTTATTCAGCCCATATGTCTGTTGAAGACAGATCAAGTTTTACTTTACAGTTATTTTTGTTTCAATTCTCTAGATAAAGATCTATGGATATCATAAGACAATAATTGGTCATTCATAAAACTAAGTTTTGATGGCTTTTGGAGGTGCTGTTTGGTTTGCAGTATATGCTATATTTCTCTGACATTATTCTCATCATGCTGTAAATGACACAATTCCCTCTTCTCCCAACATAACCCCATCATCAGAGGTTTACATTCCAGTGCGCATGTCTTGTAAATATTCCCCTGCCAGCTCAAGCAATATTTGTGATAATGGAGTACTACTTTATTACAAATCCACACTTGCAAAACATATATTAACACTGTTTTACATACCACTTAGGATGCCTTTTTAGTTTGTTTAAATGAAATGTGCTTGATTTTTAGCATTTACAATGAGGTTTGACAGAGCCATCAACAGTCAATCCCAGACAGGATGATGTACTCTCTGGTACATCAGGATGTTTAACTTCTCTTTCATCTTTTATATTCGTAAATTCCTATTTTCATATTGCTTTCCATTTTCTACCACTTGTAGACATTGTAGACGTTATTTATAATGGTTGGTTGATTTTTCAGATCCCAAAACTAAACAAGTAATCCAGCACAAATTCAAATCCAGCATGGTAAGTGACAGTGTCCTTGAACATCAAACTGTGTACTTATTTGCCATGTCATTTCTGTGTGCATTGCTTTGCTCATCATGTTAATACATGTGTGTGGAGTACATTTTGGAGACTCACCTCTTTTCCGAATGATGCAGAATTTGGGGCAACATTTTGTTTTATTTTACAAAGCACTGATACCCTTTTGAAAAGCCATAGCAAGAACACTGATTTGTTCTGGTTAATTTTGTCAGAAATATGGCACTATTACTCAGGGCATAATGATGTTATGTCTAGATACTGATACAAGTTTCATAGAGATTGCAAAAGTGCTTGAAATTAGGGCATAATAAGGCACTTGAATTTCAAGAGACAGACATGGCACAGCTCATCTAAATGAATAGGATAAACATTACCACCAAGGATTATTTCTTACCGGTACATTGTTTCATTCTACATGGCCATGCAATGCATGGAATGAATTAGTATGCTTTTAGGCATTAAAATTTTGTAGATCATTGCAGTAAGCTACATAATTCATGAGCTGTTGTTCATATAAATTTGTTCATGTTCTTGAAATTTGTTGGAATTTTTGTCTCACAAAATTTAGATAATCACATACAAGTAACATATGACAGAAACACATCAGTTTTCAATTTTCTTTGGGTGAAATTTCCAAGACACTCTAAAATGGAAAGTCTCTTCAATGTCGTTATTGTTGGAACTGAAAGTATCATGTGAAGATTACTTTCGTCAATAGGATTCTCATCAAACAGACCTTTGTTGAATATGTTTGCTGTATCTATTGGTAGTTTTCAAGTAGGATTATGCTTCATATTTTGTGTCTTTCTTTTGGTGTGTGTAAAATATAATCCATCTCTTTTGTGTCTGTAGAAACATACTAGTGTGGCTTTTGTCTTTGTTTGGGGCATTTTGTTTTCACATTTTGCAGCCTTTGTGTAAGTTTTGCCCCTTGCTGCATACATTTCCCAAAAATCGATTCATGTTTATAAAATAATACTCAGAGAAGAAATAAGCTGAAATGTTATGTCGCAAATATGCACTGGTCAATGTATTGATAAATGTTAAAATGGAAATTCTTAGGAACCTAGACATCATTGGATGCATGTGAAAAAAGATGCATAAACCTGAAGATTATTCTTTTTGGAAATGTTCTTCTGAAAAACTGTAGAGTTGATTTGTTTTGAGTTAAAAGCATGAGACAAAAACTCTAAAGTATGTATATTTGCAAATTCTGCAAATACTTTAAAGAATGAAATGGTGTGCAACAACCATTGTTAGAATGTCCTAAAATCCTAAAGATGAGTTACCTGAGTTAATGATTATGCATGAATTTCTTGTTTTTATTAGGCCAACGAGGCTGCACTCATGATGCATAGGATATTTTCTGTGCAATACGCCAAGTTACGAGCCAAGGCCTTACTTTTACCTGATGAAAATGGAAACAGTACGCACGTCCTCTTTACCATCTGCTTCCATAGCTTTACATGCCTGATTTATTAACCTTCGTTCCTGGGTGCGCTACCCTCACCTAACCTGGCCTTGCTTACAAGTTTAGCTAGCATTGTTTTTTTTCCAACCAAATGCTGGTAGTTCACTAGTAGATCACTCATTGTTTTAGATTTCAGCAACTAACACATTGTATTTACAATTCAATTTGCCTGACTTTGTGTTTGCAGTAGACATTTTATTTTCAGAAATGTGTTCACTTGTTGGCCTTGATTTTAGTCAAGATTGAAAACATAAGTAAACTCAGTTACCATTTATTCAAAATGCATCTGATGTTATCAGTACATTAGCAAGTTCACCAAATGTAATTCTTTGGGGGTAATAAATTACCTGTAGACTATGTATGGTGAGGGAATGAGCCATATTACCTTAACCTATCCCTTGGTTTAAATCTGTGTTCCTGTCTGTGATTTCAAGATGGTTTCCAACACGCATACATCACTTGGTGGACATTATCTATGTTACCCTACTTACTACTAATACAATTAACATGTCTCAACTCGCCTCACAATAGCCAAAAGTTTTATTGTACATACCATGTAAAGAGAATCAGCAGCAATCATTTACTGGTGACCTGCATGTCTCCAGGCATCATCCTCGTCTTTTTTTAGCTACAGTGATGCACACTTGGTGACACTCAGCCTCGCCATTAACTGTGCAATTTGTCTATACTGGACTGTTACTGAAATTTTTGTTTTGTTTAAACAGTCTGAATTAGTGAGAATTAAGCAGTAGTTGCATCCCTTGCTGTTATGCACTATTGAAGAAAACTATCCATTATAATCATTATAGGAGTTGGTGCCTTGTATCTTGGATGTTTACAAATTAATTGATCCCAAAATTTCGATCCCAAACTAGTAATTAAACTGCCTGAGATATTAACACAAGCAAAACTTGGCCCTCAGTCATACTTCACTTAGCTCATCTCAGTCCAATAGTGATGTCCCATTTGTTGCAAGTCCTATTTGCACACTTGATGAATTCACCCCATTCCTGTGCCTCTTACCAAAAAATGGAATGAATCTTTGTAGCTAAAAGAAACAACAGAAAAGAAACTTGTGAACATATTTGTTACATACATGTTTGTTTTAAATGTTCATAAAAATTACTTAGTTTTATAGGATTTGTTTTTTATTTACAAACAGAAACAACAGAAAATAAACACTTTTTTTCCATATATAAATATGAATATCATAATCTATTATTGATTTCTTGTTGCTTAGAACTTGAATAAAATTATTAAACATTTCACATGTTCATAGAAATAGACTTAATTTTATACACCGAAACTGAGTTTATATACTACACACTGAAACAACAGAAAAATACAACTTGAAGAATTAATTTGGGGCTCCATTCGATATTTCTTTTTGTTGGATTAACTAGGTTGCCTTATATTGAGGTTGATTCGCATGCTCCCACATTTGGTTATACAGAAAACAAATACATTGAACCAAAATCCTTCATATCTTTGTCTCACTTGGCATTACAGCATTAATACATCCTGCAAAACATCAAAGAATAGAGGAAATCATTTGTTTCAGTCATCTATCATAATGTACTCACGATCTGTAGGATTAACTTTTTGGGGGGTGAATTAAATATGGCTTTCAAGCTGTTTGACATATGACCCAAATCAAAGAACATAAAGATCTTATGATGCAGATACTTGCAAGTTTGACAGATATGAAAGATTATTTAATGTTCTGCCCTTTTCCCTTAGACCTATGACTCCATTGGAAAGTATTGGACAACTGGTTCTTGAGTAACAGTTGCCACAAAATTATTTCGTGAAACATTTATGGGGGAAAACAGAGCAAAAGTCAAATCCAATATTGTAACCACAAAAAGACATTTTCAGAAATGTTAAAGATTTTTTAAAAATAGGTTATGTGTAGACAACTTGTGGAAAGTTTAAAGGTATCTCAACTGGTAGATACAGAGAAGAGATACTATCACTTGAGGTACTTTCAAACTTTCCACTTACCCTAAAAAACGACAAATGCACTCTTTAAAATCTTGAATCTAATATAGCTGCCACATCACTATCTTGACACACAACCAAGAAAAACAGTTGTTCATGATCTCATTTGGATGAATGCTGCCAAGTTTTAAGGTTCTCTGATTAACCAATTTTTTATTAATCCTTTCTATTATATCTATCATTTAAGGTGACACATGTTACATCAGGAATTGATATGCTGAGCTTGATCAGGTTGCATGTGACCTTGCTGAACGCCTCCATATTTCTGTGATATTCTGTCCCCGAGTTTCATGCAGTCTTCTGTTGTGATTTAGGTTTTCTGTTTTCCTGACATTAATTCTTTGCAGAATGGTCCTTCCTTAATTACCTTAATGTTCAGGCTTGCAGACAATACTGTGCCATCACATACACAATAGTAATAGAAGTAGTTTTGATTTAAGGTGTATGGAGACAATTTGTGGAAAGTATGGTGGATTCAGGAACTCACACCTTAATGTTAAAAGGCACAGCAAAGACCTTCAATTCAAAAGGTCTGCTATACTGTAAGACCAATGGCCAAAGTCAAAGCTTGATTATCAAGTTGGAGATATTATCTCAGTCTTGAGTTGACATGGACTGTTCCATTCAGCTTCAGGCTTTCTTCCTGCATCAAGCTGACACACTGTGATATGACTGAAATACAAGGTGTGGCTGAAAAGTTCTGAGCCAAACAACAAAGGATGTATAGTACACCCTTAATAGTTTGCATGTTTTAAGTACAATTATTTACTTGCTTACAGGCTGCATTTGAACCAAATACTCAGGCCTGCAGCATATTTCTGCAGGCATCAATGTGACTAGGTATAAGTTGTTGATGAAAATGGACAAAATCTCACTGTTATCAAGTGTCTCCAATAGCCATCTATGTGAACATGGTGTCAACTTTACATGATGATGCTATTTCCTTTGACACTGTTAAGAGATAGGCAGTGGAGTTGAAGAGGGGAAGAGAGAGCCTTGAAGATGGTCCTGCACCTGGAAGTGATCAACAACCCCCACTGAGGAAAGTGTTGATAAAATGCATGAAATGATTATTGATGATCACCACATGCCACATAGCCAATGCAGTAGGCATCTCTCATGACTGAGTTGAGAATGTGGTGAGGAATGAACTGGGATTGACAAAGGTTTCAGTACACTGAATTCGAAGGCTCCTGACTTGTGATCATAAATGCTCCAGGTTCATCTTTCAACATGAGTATTTTTTGTTGTTTTGACGGAGACCCAGCCTATATTATTGAGCAATTTATAACCAAACCCACTGAGTCTCACCTGATTTGTCCTGTCTCCTGTAACTTATGTGTCAATTCTTTAAATGGACATTACCATTAATTTGACGCACGATATATCTTGGAGCTTAATAAGGTTGCTCTAGGGAAGATACTACAAGGTCTCATTCCTATGATACAGATTATGAAGGCTCATCTACCCATGGGGGTAATAGATCTATGATACTCTTACCCACAGAAGACAGGCACTCCAGTTCACGTGACAAAAGATATGCCATCAGAGTGGAGGCTGAAGTCCATGTCTGACCCTAAGCTTCTGCATCTCAGGACAAGGCTCATGCACCACAGAATTGTCAGCAAAGTGGAAAGTTCCCAAGGCCTACTGACTTGATAGTTTGAGGCATGCTGCGTGATCCCATGCTGCTGCTGTGTCTAGGAAGCGTGTACCTTAAGCCACCATTACGTATGTCATCTCTGACGACTGATCTAGCAGTCATCGTTATTCGACACGCAGCACGTGCCAGCCGACCCTCAAGCAGGCAAATAGGAGCAGAACACCCCTACGTGATCATGGCTTACACATACAAAGATTTACTGGATTTACTGGATTTATAGCCATCTATTACAAATGATCCTGCACCTCAGCTGATACAGTGCATGGGGATTGCTGAACCAGTCCGTATAATGGAAAGTTTACCATTTCCTTCCTTCACTATGAAATGGTTCCCTGAAGAATTCTAATCAGTGAATGACAGATTACTCCTCACTCTTAACATGTACATGTACAAGACACATGACTGTCCTTTTCCTCTGTCTCCTTCCATTGATGACGATTTCTATCAACTGGTCAAATCTCTTTCATCCAGAATGCAAATGTCAATGAGCAAATTATAGTATTTGGAAACAGTGAATAAGCAGATGATAAATATCAGCATGTATATAACTGGTTCATGGCAATAGTCTAGCATGTCCTACATCCCTTTCATGGGGAATATTGGAGCTTCCCTGTTCTCCTATAACAAGTACGCAATCAGATTTCTGAGCCTCTGAGATGGTCTATTCTATTTCAACCTGTCACAGCGCCAGAATTCTTTAATAAAGCATACAGTCTTCTTCAGCCTCCCTTGAGACCTAGAGACCGCATGTCCCCACAAAGTTGTTATTCATGGCAGTTCTCTATCCCACTAATGTTGTGGTATAACTAAAATACTGTTAAAGGCAGTGTTAAGCCCATCTCGCTCACTCTATCCCCCTTAAGTCTTATGTGTGACCCCAACCATATTTAGAAATTCCAGAGCTTGCTTTTGTGGCCATGTGATCTTTGACAGTCAAGGCACAGATCCTTCCGTTAGGAACAGCCACCCTGACAAGCTCAACCACAGAGAGTTGCAAGTTCCCTGTATGCTATTACATGCAAGCCGTTTCGGCTACAACGCCTAACTGCTCTTAAAGAGAGTATGTTTTTTTTGTTTCAAGCAGAATGATGGTGAGAATAACGATTTTCATCCATATAATTGGAACTTGAGTATTGAACACAAGACAAAGGTTAAGGAGGTAACCCGTGAGTTGGTTCAAGTAAAGGGGTTTTCCATGTTGGAAAAGATGGATTTTTTCGAAGAGGCCATTGTGGGGCGAGTTGAGGAATTCATTGCTATTATCATGAGTATATCACATGAAAGGGTATTACCATACAGTTCCTCATATTACTTTGTTTCTGATTCTTACAGCGAATAGTAGTGTAAACTTTGCAAAATAATTTGGTTTATTGACAAGACTAATTGCTTTCAGGTTCAGACAAGTAGTGTATGCTTATTTATTAACATTTTATAGCAGTAGGCAATTGTTAAAAACAAATCCTCTAGTTCATGCTCAGTAACCAATGAACCTCACAGTGAGTGTAGTTGACAGGCAATGCAAGTGTAGTGATTCAAGAGTATAGTACTTTCACAGACATTTGCTTGATTGTGTCACTTGTGTTTGTGCCGTGTTTACTGAAGTCCAAGCTTTTTTATCTGCCAGCTTCCAGTAACTATGTCTAGTATGTCACTGTGTGTCAAGTACTAGTATGTCTCTCTCGTTTGTCTTGTTCCTTCTTCTTCAATTTAATTTTTCTAAATACTTCTAATTTATGTATGATTGATAGATAGCAAACTTTACCAATGTAAAAACTTTACCTTGAAAGACTGAAGAATTCATTACAAATATAACAATAAGGTAATTCACCAGTAGGTATATGAATTACAAAATGACACATCTTTGTATATGTGAACAAGGTTTAACTTTAAATCATAGATAATGATGTATATGTTTATGTTTATGAAAACAATGCATCAAAGATTTTGTGACAAAAGAGTAACATTTCAGAAACATAAATATGATACAGTGCAGGCGTATGGATTTGGAAACAGTATTGTGCTTTGCTGAAAGGAATAGCATGATGCAGAAGTATCAATATAGTTCAAATAGATGGTATGGAATTTCCTTAACAAAACAGTATATAACTGATGTATAAATGTTATATGCTTGACTAACTGATGTACATGTTACAATTATGTGACAGTTCTACTAACATTAGAATGTACATATCTGGTGAGGTTTCCTGTCTTCAAGCTTCTCTGACTTTTGAAATTAGTGACTTGAATCAAAAGAAAAAATAATCCTTAAATTTCTAATTGGAAAACCTTTGGATATATATGAACAGACTCTTGTACAGTAGGGATTTGTCATTTATTTTTGGCTTATCGTGATCATTATTTAAGTGAACAAAAAAATTTAAGTTGGCTTCAAGCACGTGTATATTCTCTGATTATGGTCTCAACAGTACAGAAACCAGAATTAAGTCTTTTGCTTTTTGAGATATCAATAATCCTGAAAGATAATGTCATAATTATGATTTCTTTCTGTTTCAGGCTGACCAAATGTGCTATGCAGTCCTCTGTCTGTTTTCTTATGTTGCGGCAGGTTTAGAACAGAGAAAACAATCTTGACACAGTCACCATTTGATGATTCTAGCCTTCTTCCTGACGATACATTCTTCCATTTTGTCCCTCCCGCCGTCAGAACAGATAGTCTGGGCAGTTGACATGACCATAGAGCTTATCATCTGTTCCACCATACAAGTTCTCTTTCATTCCACAGTATAACTGAGAGCCTCTGTTTATTACTCAGAAATGTATTCTATTCATTGGTGCTTAAAGCTATTTTTTTCTGATATTCTGCATTGATTCTGCAACAGTTGCATGTCCGATTGTTTGGAAGTATTGTCTTCCAAGCCAGAGTAAATAGAAATTTCCTTTGAATATTCCTTCATGGTCAGAATCATTTATTATCATGAATCAAATTCATTTCATCATGGAAACAGTATGCATACTTCATTTTGTTCAAAGTCCAGTGGAAACCCAGTAGCTTGATGATATTATCTTTTAGATCTCTGATCGTTGACAGCTTGAAAATAAAAACTGCTCAGATTGTTAATGTATAAATATATTCTTGTGCCTCGTAAAGTGCTAAAATATTTATTTTTTACTTACATATGAATATATATTATATATATATATATATATATATACTTATACAAATAATTTGTAATCTGTCAAATTGTCCTTCATGTTAGAATTTGTCGTCAAATCTGGAGGTATTTTGTTTGTGTTTAAGTTGTGACTGGTGATCAGTTTGTTCTCTGTTCTGCTATTGCCTGTATAATCACGGACTTGTATAACCGGTTATATTGGTCCGTGGTATAATCAAAGATTCACTCAGAATTAACTATCTTTAGAATGGAACTATTTCATCTCATAAATTGTAACCTTTCAAATATAGATTATCTAGCATGTCAAATTATGTTTTTGTGCTCTTTTATGCAGAACTTACCCTCTTTCATATGAAGTATTTTCTGTGAATATATCTATATTTACACAAAAGCAATATTTGCGCTCTTGATTTATGAAAGTACATTAAGTTAATGATAATGAGGGTCTTTTTGGTCATGTTTTCAAAATTCAGTTGAAAACACTTCAGATGTAATTAGATTTGTCTGTTCAGGTGAAGAGACAGCAATTCAGACCTAACATAATCAACTGTTTGTGTCTTTTGGGAACTGACAACAGCTACACTCAATGATGGCAATGCATTTACAAAATGTGTTACATGATTCTGATTTACTGGCCTCTGTGTGTACAGCCATTGGTACAATCCTGTCACTTCCATCCAATAAGTGGACTGACTGACTGCATAGTGTAGCTTGGTACAGTTTCAGTTTGGAGTTTAACTGAGTCAGCCATGGAATCAGCCTGCTGGATTTGAATTTTGTCTTCACGTATCAACACAGTATTAGATGCAAGTCTACAGAGAAACCCCTTAGTGGACAACTTCATTGTTTCTTGCAACTTGCATGTAATTTTTGCTCTGTAGTATCTGTTAGTTGATATTTCCTGTGGTAAGTACATAGACTAGCATTTCCCGCTTCCTAGTGTAAATAACTTCTTCACTGTTACTTACCATTTTTTATCGACTCTGTATGAGAGTGTTTTCTGCAAATGGATGTAAACCATTTCTCTGCTGTATAATGACATGAATCTGTTCAGTTATGTCAAGAGCTGAATGTTTTGTAAAATTAAATATTGTCCTTGAAAAAATGCATTTCACAATGTGTGTTTGGCTTTAATAGTGAATGAAAACAGGGTCCAGTGCATGTATATCCTTATGAAAGAGTATAAATATTCTGCTGGTTGGTATCATCGAGATATAAAGTAGCATTAATCTGTTTGATAGAGAAATGGTAATGTGATATATGTATTGTTGAAAGAGGCTAGTGTAATGAGGTCCGTAGCCTTTCAATTATGTGTGGGTCTACATTCCATAGATTTTTCCCCTTGTTCATACCAGGTGATGTTTCCTTAGTTCCTCTTTTTGTGGCATGTTAGGTCATGCAGTCTAAGGAAGAATTGTAGATGTCATCAGTTTTCGAATATAAGAAGCAGACATAATACTTAGTACATTTTCAACTCTAAGATATGATGAGCAAATGATAATAAATAACAGATTGTCCCCGGAGATAAAGAATAAAAAAAGGGGTATCCTCACAGCAAACAACTCTTTGAAAATGTCATTTTGCCTATTACTCAGCAACAACTGCATGTATTATTATGAAATTTGATTAGTGTATGTGGTATGAAAAATAACAATATGATCTGATTTTTGGCAAATTTTGATCCCAGCTAAAGTGTCTATTAAAACTGGACACAGAATTCCAAACAAGGCCACCATTATTTCTTTACAAGTCAAGTGAGTTACAGAGCCATGTGTCAAGTCCAAGCTAGCTAAAACACTGAAAAAAATATAATACTTTGAATTCCAGTAAGCTGATAGTCCAAGTATAGGGTTTTTGTTTGCTAGTACTTGCCTCTTTACAATAGCCTTGTTGGCCTTGTACACCAAATGTTTGATTGCCATATGTATCATTGAGAAAAGCTGAGTATCAGTAAATAGTATCAGATGGTTGTCATGATATGTTGGATACTTGTTCATATCTTTGTAATACTAAAATGGTATATTTACAGTAAAAGTACCACACAGATTTCAGCAAATTGTCAGGACTGTTAAAAAAGGATTGTACAAATACTCTGTGCCAATTACATCCTATGTTGATATTGAGAAGATAATGTGTTTCATGTTTAAATATTAGCAGAATACTCGGCATTGAGATAACTCAGTCATGTAATAAGTTTCAAAATTGTGTAATTCCAGTGATGAAAAAGTTTACGGTTGTTAGATTTGTCCTTTTATGGTTATGAATTACCATCAGTTTTTGCTATTGTGATATTGTTGGCAAACTGTGGAAAGCTTCTTTGGTTCTCTTGTGAAGATAAAGTATAACAGTTAGGAACTACTATTGATGATATTGCATCTAAATTTATTAATACCTACCAATAATTAGGTAAGATATAATATAAGTCGCAGCAGGATCACGATGGAAACATGGGGTTTCATGCATCCCGCGTTAGGTTTTATACCACAAACCGTATAAAAAGCATACAACCCCATGTACGCCTTGTGATCCTGCTACAATGAATTTATCTTACCGTCATGTCTAAATATTGCATTGTAAATAATTGAAACAAATTCAAAATTTATAGATAACAGCTGTTCAATTGTGCGGAAGTTAGCTTGTGCTGTGTCACGTGACTTTCATTGACTCAGAAAAAGCGTGCCTTTTGCTTTGAAGCAGGGTATAAGGGAATTTTTCTGCCTCTGCATCCTGACTTGCCCGGGCGGGGAAAAAGGGATTTATTCCCCTCCAAGGCAAGATACATCATATTTTTTCAAGGTCACGTGAACCAATCAGATTTCGTCATTCTCACATGGAGGTATGATGAACACTTTTTAACCTGCTTTATTTATGAAATGTTGAATTGTTTTAAAGTTTTAAGAAAGCATATGTTTTTATATATCTATATATCTAATATGTGAACATGAGCATCTCTCTGATCCAAGATGGTTTTCATAGGTGATATTGGTAAAGACATTAAGATATGAGTAATTAAGCTGACCCATGTACATGGAAGTGCTTAAAGGTACTGTCAGAATTTGACCAGTACTGCTATAACACCTTGGTTTGGGGCAATGATCATGGGGCAGGGACATCTCAAAGTTATCCTATCATGTATATCTCCTTTATATAAACATTGCTCTGTGATGGTCATGGTTAGCCTCAAGATTCATGGCATGAACAAAGTTTGCTACGTAACTCAAATTGTCAACTTAATTCTTGTCATCATGCAGACAGGAAGTCATCTTTTTTTAATACTAGTCCAGTGCACTATTGTAAATCTCATTTCAGTAGTCCTCAGAGTTTGTACCATATTTTCTTGAGTATAGTGCGCACCCATGTATAATGCGCACCCCCCTCTAGCGGATTCAGTATTTTGGAGAAAAAAAATTCGAATGTCAAGTGCAGAAAAAAAATTCCACTGTAGACCTACCCCTTCAGCGAATTCCGGTAAACGAACGGGTGATGAGAAACTTGGTCAGTACAAATTAGAAATTTGGGATAAAAAATCACCAGACATGTTTATTTATCATTTAAATTGTATTTTTTTGTTCTGCTAGGCATTTTTTTACATCCAGGCGTACTTCAGCATGGATTTAGGGGGCACGGGTGGCCCAGTCGTCTAAGGCGCCGCGATTTGCTGCGCAGAGTTGCGTCCCTTGGGCACGCCAGAAACCTATGATTGTGGGTTCGAATCCCGGTTCGCCCCGATTATGTTTCTAGGTTTGTCAGCACCATACCCGTGCTCGTGGGTTTCACCGAAGTGGTAAACGTCTGAGACCTGCATTGCTTCAGGCTTTCCTCCCACATTAAGCTGACACGCCGTGATATAACTGGAATACTGTTAAAAGCGGTGTTAACCACACTCACTCAGTATGGATTTGTTGACATGGTATTTCCGGTGTTACATGCTCACGGTAATATCTTTCCATGAGGAAAAAACCATCAAAACTCATTATTTTGTGTATAATGCGCAACCCCTTCTACACAGCTGTGTTTTTTGGAAAAAAAGTGCGCACTATACTCAAGAAAATACGGTAGTTAGTCCTGCTTGAAAAGACATCAATGTTTATTCAGTTTTATTCAGTTTTTTTCAGTTCCAGTTTGAAGCAGAATTGAAGCATTGAGAGCGGGTTCTGGTCAATGAGGACTTTCATCTTTGTATTTGTCCTCAACACAATTTAGTAGTCTCGGGCTGGTGGACTAGCATGAATTTCAAAGGCTGTAATAGGGTCAGAGCCAAGATCATCAGTAAATACAATTATTGCACATGGTCAAAGTCACAGTAAATGCTGTTCATATAGTATGTTTGCCGTTTTCTCTAAAATGCCATTTCCTGCAGGTATTTCTAAGTTTTGTGCATTTAGTTGTGATACGGTCTGAATGCTTCTTTTAGGAAGGGATAACAATTGGACTTTTGGCATGTTGGATAGCCCTAGGGAATAAAAATACTGATATTGAAGGTCAAATTCACTCTCAAGGTCACACATGCAAAGCTGTATTATGTGCATGATAACATAATTAGTGTTCACTGAAGGATGAAATTTGGTACTTATCAGTCTTAGGGCTAAACATGGAAGTCATGTTTGAGCTACCTTTAGCTTCATACAAGTTCAAGGTCACTGGAATGATCATTTGTGAGGTTTGGTTTGGTTTGTTTATTTTGTAACGCCCTCTCAGCAATATTCTATCTATATGATAAATAATCGAGTCTGGACCAGACTATCGAGTGATTGACATCATGAACATCAATCCACGCAATTGGGATATGATGACATGCATCAACAAGTCAGCAAGCCTGTCCACCAGATCCCGTTAGCATTACAACAAGCATTGTCACCTTTTTCGGCAAGCATGAGTTGGTGAAGAGCTGTTCTACCCTGGACCTTCGAGGATCCATTTGTAAGGTAGTTCTGCTTGCTTTGTGCACTGAACCAACCCCCTGTTTTGGTATGACAAATTTGTAAGGAACCGTCCATTTGATATTTTGGGTGGGAGGGGGTTGTATGGGAAAAGAAATAATTTGTTGTCAGGTTTTAGCTGCTTTCTGGACATGCTGGTTGTCATTAAAATAAATGAAGAAACAATAACTTTCTCAGTAACGAGGCTATAGTGTCCAAAGACTTTCTGTTTTAAAGTTGGCATTTGCCACGGGTTTACCCAAAGTGATGGCATTTCTGTTTTAAAGTTGCACTACATATGATATGTACTTCCTCAACTAGAAATGATATCATTCACCCTGAAGCCTTTAGAACCTTATTGTTAAGGTAGCTAGGAGCATCAGACATCC